TGCTGTGAAAAGTAATTTTAAGTGCCTTTTTTTTTTCAGGGAGGCAAGCTAACATCTGCCTCCTTAACCATTTGTTCCTCTGTAAAACACTTGTATTCATCTCTAAAAATATATCTTATTATTTTACCTATTTCCGATTCCCACCCTAAACATTGCTTAATGACAAAAAGAAAAGTCTGAATGGTAGTGTAAATAAAATACCCAACTTTATCATTCACTTAAAAAAATACATATAAAGACTAAAAAAATATCAATGTTTCAAAACCCTCTCGCTAGATCATCGGAATGCAACTTCAAACTATGAAAACAAATATTATTTCTAGTGTGTGTGAAGTCTATATTCATGTGTGTCTGAGAGGATTCATAGCCTGAAGATAAACCCAAACAATAATTACAGTTTAAACCTTGGCTACCTTGACAGCTGCTAGAATGCAGCATAATTGACCTGTATAAACATTAACTACTGAAGCAATGAACTGAGCATGCCATTATGCATCCATCTCTCCAGGTGGTAAACAATGTTGTTTGAGTAAATTATAAATGGTTACATTTAGTGCATACAGCTTTCTTTTCAACATCATGTAATATTACCATGAAGGATCCAATATATCTAAGTAATATTTCATATTTAACTATTATAACTTACTATTACCTATTAGCAAATATTATTTACATATGAATTAATATGCAAAACTTCTACAATTTACCAGAGATAGTTTATTGTCCTCTAGTTATACTGTTGCTGCAAATAATTAGTGCCCCGGTTTAAGGCAAAATCCAAATTAAAGATAGTAATATTTCAGTGAATTCTTATATCTACATCCTATCTAAGTATTAACAATAGATTAATGCCAAAATAATGTAAGATACAAGAAAGAAATTACTTATGCAATTTCTACCCAATGAGGCTAATACATCAGAGCGTACACCTAAGGCTTGAAAAACTCAAATTCAAGTTGCCAAATCCTTAAACATTAATAACAGTCTATATACAATACATATAAAAGAGTAAAACTCAATTTACAAAAAAAAAATAAAAAATAAAAAAGGCTATCTACATGAATTTCTCTTGAAGCAAAACTATCAATTTATTATCACCTTTGAATGTTCTATTATTGAGAATTAAAAGAAAGTGAAAGTTAAGGTAAACTAAAGAAAAGAATTCCATAGTGTGAATCCCTACAACCCTGTTCAAAAGTACTTAATGGGATGCTAGTTTATTACCTTCGAAATATTTTGATAACAGCTGCAATAGAGTCTTCTTGCTTTAAAGCTCCAATTTTGAAGATGCAAGTGAGGAACATAAGGAAGGCTAGTTCATGCCCTGTTCCATAATCAATGCGTGTTGAGTTTCCCACACTCTCCACAAGATATACACTAATTTCTGGGACTGCAGAATGGAATTCTTCTGGAAGCGCAGCTCGTAGGACTTCTTCTCCTTTCTGCACAATGGTCCAATATTGACAGTGGATAAGTAATTACATCTATACAGATACTATGAAGCAAGAACACATTCAATTTCTTTTCCTAAAACCTTTCTGAACTTATATTTCTTGTGTATACACTTAAGACATACACTGCTACACAAGACTTTAGAAAAAGTCATTAATAGTTAAGACTTAGAAAACATTACCTCTTTCATCCTTGCATAAAAATCCCGAAAGGCTTTATTGCCATAACGCTGTGGTTGGTCAACTGCAGGGATCTCATCTATCCACTGACTGAGGGTATCCAACATCTTTAGGATTCCCGTAACAACATCCTTGGTTTTGCATTCCACACTCAGCTTCTTCCCTTTTACAGCGTCATTCATAGATATCAGGAATCCTAAGATGTCCTAAGTCAACACAAATTATTCATTAGAAAATGTTAAGGAACTGATTAGTACAGCCAGAATAATGACATAAAAGTATAGTACCTTTTCTCTAAAAGTAAACATAGCCTATTATATATAATTGTAATCAATATATTTTTTCATATACACAGATATCCTATTTCTCCCTATTTTTTCTTATGAAAAGATAAAGTACTCAAATTTATATATAATATTTATATATAATATTTATTATATTTATTATAAATATACTAATCATATATTGGTGCTCCACTCTTTCAATTTTCTTTGTATAATATGTAATTACACTGATATTAATAAAGTCTTCAGCAGAATTAGATTTTCTCTCTCTCACTACTCAAGGGTCATCTAAGTCTGACAGTCCTCCCTTAAACTACTAGCTTTTTACAGCAACTTCTATTACCTGGTAAGCTTCTGATAACTCCCATTTCTTAACATCCTGAGGCACCAATACTGCACGCTGTGGCTTCTCAAACTTGTGAGTTTCTGTTATGAGGAACAATATACATTAAAAGCTTGTGTTTTGACAAAAAAATCATTTCTGAACACTAAATATCCAGATCTTCTCACAGAACTAGCTTTTGGTCTATTGTATTAAAGAAAAACATAATATCAATGCATATTTTATGAGCTTGTATTTTAATTTAAGCTGCAAAGATTTTAGTTGCAGTGTATTGAGAATTAAGCTATACTTTGACTCAATGCTGCCAGGATTTTTTTTTTTTTTTTTTTTTTTGTGAAATGTCTCTCCACATAGATGGCTCTGCTAGTACTTGGCCACAAAGGAGTCAATTAGTAGACCTTGTGACCTTACTTGATTTCACCTTTCCTTGAACTGGCAGGTAAGACCTTTTTTCACAAATGCTATGAATTCTGATGGTGTTATTTTTATCATGGACATTATAATTACTATAATGTTATAGACTTTAGTAACAGCAATATAAGATAATGTAAAATATTTTTGAAAATTAAGGAAAAGGGTAAACAGGCAAGGTAGGCAGTATTTGTAATTGGCCCATTGCTGAATTAGTACAAGTGTAGCCATCTATTTGTAAAAACAATTAATAAAGCAAACTTGCAGTGGGCATGGCATGTACGTACATGCCATGCCCATTGGATTTGGGTTAACGAGGTAAGGTGAGTTAGGCCTTTCTGATGATTTAATTGTATAATCTCCTTCAGATATAATAAAAAATATTCCAATCCCATTCATAGATTTAAACACTGAGATATGCAACAGATATACAACTGAGATTGGTGCAAAACCTTTTGTTACCGCTAGATATGTCAAATGAACAGTTACCACAGGGGAAATCGTACCCTTAACCCATTGCCGAAGGGAAAAATGAATTAAAAATGGGGAAAATGCTGTGCCCTTTTTTTTATATTTTTTTGTGAAAGGTTTCTACACATAGATGGCTCTGCCTTACCTGATTTCACCTTTCCTTTAATTGGCGGGAAAATGTATTTTTTACTAGGGCTATATATATCGATGGTGTTATTTTTATTATAAACATTATACTTACTAAAATGTTATAAACATTAATAATGGGGAAAATAAGATAACGCAAAATATTTTCGAAAATTAAAGAAATTAAATTTTCATTGGCTCATTGATCTAGTACATCTGTAGCCATCTATGTGTAAAAACAATCAAATAAATAATCTCAAAGTGGGCATGGCATGGCATGCCCATTGGCAGTGGGTTAATGTGCCTACAAAAATTAAATAAAATACAAAATAAAATAAAAATAAAGTTATTGAAATTACAGTAAGATGCTAATTCAAGCCTATACATTAAATTAGGAAGAAATTAATTATACAATTTCTACCCACTGATTATGCAATTAATGACACTACAATAGAGTAAAAACTACACTCATTTATACATGAATTAATCTGCACTGGCAAAAATTAATGTCAGAAATTAATAACATTCAGAATACCTTCGCATAACTGATCATGATAACAGTGGTATCAATGGATTCCTCTCACTTTCTATTACCCATTATGCCTCAGAACCACATCAGAAGCACATAGATACATAGGAATGTACCATGAGTAACAGCATACTAACCTGTGATATAGTCAGCATGATATACTGAAAAGAATATGGGGTATATCAGATTATCATCCACCTATCAAGTTAGTAAGTTATCAATCCTAGGCTGTATTATGCAGCATGTTGGCTGTGCATAGAGGATTCTTCGTCATCTAGGGCAGGATTGGGGGGCGGCAGCTATATCATTGCACCATATTTCATGTACATCATTCGTATTTTACCACACAATTTCCCTAGTGCCTCTCATGCACTCCTGGAAAATAAGTTATTGAAATTACAGTAAGATGCTAATTCAAGCCTATACATTAAATTAGGAAGAAATTAATTATACAATTTCTACCCACTGATTATGCAATTAATGACACTACAATAGAGTAAAAACTACACTCATTTATACATGAATTAATCTGCACTGGCAAAAATTAATGTCAGAAATTAATAACATTCAGAATACCTTCGCATAACTGATCATGATAACAGTGGTATCAATGGATTCCTCTCACTTTCTATTACCCATTATGCCTCAGAACCACATCAGAAGCACATAGATACATAGGAATGTACCATGAGTAACAGCATACTAACCTGTGATATAGTCAGCATGATATACTGAAAAGAATATGGGGTATATCAGATTATCATCCACCTATCAAGTTAGTAAGTTATCAATCCTAGGCTGTATTATGCAGCATGTTGGCTGTGCATAGAGGATTCTTCGTCATCTAGGGCAGGATTGGGGGGCGGCAGCTATTATCATTGCACCATATTTCATGTACATCATTCGTATTTTACCACACAATTTCCCTAGTGCCTCTCATGCACTCTCCTGCTATTGGGACCAAAAATGTGGGGGTTTGGAGGGGGGTTTGCAGCAAATGTTGCATATACACAGATAACAGAGAGTGAAAGGAATCCATCAAAACCCTATCCTCATGAATGGTTAAGCAAAGCCATTATAAACACTTACTCCATGCATATTACAATGTAATGATTGCAAAGTTGGATGGCTGTGTGAAACTAAACACGATCAAACTTAGTCTTAAAGGAGTGAGGTCACTTTGTAAAAACAAATGCCACTACTTTCATTAGTATAATCTGCGATGGAAAACGACAAACATTCATGCATATTGCACCCTGGTTACGTGAAACAAGATATAAATGGAATGGTTGGCGACTGTGGAACTAAAAAAAAAAAAAAAATACCCGGGACCGATGAGTCAAGCCAATGTTTTAGTGTGTGAATGTCTGTCAATATCTGTTAGAGTAAATTACGACATATTTCGTCGAATCAACGTGTAGGTCATTTCTGAGAGTCAAAATCTAAGGACTTTTGTCGATCGCCAGTATTAGTTACTGCATCCGCATACCTTACACGTCAAACAGTCAAGTTAAAAGTATGCTGAAGTAATAACGATACTTACTACAGTCAATAACCATTTTACAGATCGTGAGACGTTGTGGCGAATTGGTAAGTTACCCGAAAGGTTTCTGAAGTCACCGCCCGCCTGGCTGCCAGTGTTTACAGCGAGGGCGCTCGTGTTTCAAGAAATTATATATATATATATATATATATATATATATATATATATATATATATATATATATATATATATATATATATATATATATATATATATATATATGGTAGAATAAACCCACAATGTAAAAACTAATTTTTATATTGTGTTTTTTTTCTAACAACACGGTAGAGTGTTTTCATCATTCATACATATATATATATAATATATATATATATATATATATATATATATATATATATATATATGTATATATATATGTGTGTGTGTGTGTGTGTGTGTGTGTGTGTGTGTGTGTGTGTGTGTGTGTGTGTGTGTGTGTGTGTGTGTGTGTGTGTCTGTGTATGTAAACATTCATATACAGATTAAGATATATAATCATATCAACTTTATAAATCGAAAATGGAACATTCAGTAATACGAACAACAAAACTTATCCAAATACGAATGCATTTCATTGAGTTTCCCTCTCATGCCTGTGTAATGAAATCTCTCTATCTGTGTGTCTGTCTGACACACACGTATCAGTACAGTAGCACTCCCCGCCTCACCCACATACACTTTACCGAACTCCAAACGCCTATTTCTGTCGCTTCCTGAAGAATAAACTCTTATCTAATTTTTAGAATACAATTCACCAGTTAAGGATGCAGACCATAAATTGTTTATACATGGCAATCTATGTGTAGCATTTAGTGTACTACTTTTTCCGCTGACGGAGAACTAACGGCTCTTGCTAGTGAAGAAGACCCCTGGGCGATAATCCATAAATCCTTGACTCTATTAGTCATAACTTGTCACGCCATGACACAGGCAGGTACTCTTTAACTTCAGTGTGCACCAAATATTAAGGAGTAATATGGCCTTACTCCTTGCTGTGAAAATGCAGCCATGCAAGTTTCCCGTCTATTACCAGGATTTATATTTTACCGGCTATACGAGAGCGCTTGATTACTGCCCCATACACATTAGAGTTGACATTAAGATTTATTATTTTTTAAAAGTTGGTCGCGCATCAGGTCATGGCATAGTTACCCAACTTGTCTCAAGTTTAATCTTGAAGTCTGCATAACTACGAAACCGGTGCTGAATTGAATCGGTGAATAATCTCTTGCAGCAAGCATACGGCGCCTGGCTTATCTTCCTATGAACCGTATTCATGTCGACAAATGTAGAAAAGGTATGAATGAGAATGAGTATCTTCACAATACAAGATATGTATTTGACCGGTTTCGAATTATATCTTTGTCAGAAATACATACAGCAAAGGAATTACAGAGTATATATATATCACACATGAGCTACCTGACTGTGACCTCCCGCTCGTTGATCGTATAATTGCTGCCAGCGACCTTGGATAATTTGAACCTGCCCGATGCTGCGTTAGGCAGCTTCCATGATTTTTCTTGCTGCCTGTTTAGTCCTCCATAGACTATTTTTGCTTCTTTCCAATTAGGTAGATGTCCAGCTTCATCTGCATGGACCACCATGGCGTTGGAAGTTCTATGGTGACGGATGTCAGCTCGGTGTTCACTGATCCTGGTGCTGAAGCCACGGCCTGTTTCACCAAAGTATACTGTGTCGCATCTGCTGCAGGGTATGCGATACACAGCACTGTTAGTGTTGTTTTCAGGGTGCTTTCTCTCTCGTATCATATCATGTATCTTATTCCCGGATCTTCTGGCGATTCTCACTGTGTTGCCGAAGTTGCATGACGGTAATACGAGAAAATCATTAGAAGAAGGTGCAGGATTAGATCTTGTGAGTATTCTCTCTGCCTTTTTTCTGAGGTTTAGTAGGAAGCCTTTGGGATATTTATGTTTCAAAAAGGCATTAATTATATAGGCAACCTAACCATCGAGAAATTCAGGGCTGCAGATCCTCAGTGCCCTGAAGAAGAAGCCGACTACAACGCCAGATTTTGTTTTGTTACTGTGGGCGGAGTAGTAATGGATATAATCATCTTTATTTGTAGGCTTTCTATATACAGATAAACGTAGGCCGTCGTCTCCCCGATGGATCAAAGTGTCCAAGAAAGGTAACTTCTGATCCTCTTCCCCCTCCACGGTGGACTGGATTTTTTCGTGGACGGAGTTAAGTTGCGTCAGTGTATGTTGTAAGCACGACCTTCTGGGGACAATGACGAGGACATCATCCACATACCGAAGCCAAGTTGAGTGTCTGCCGATTATATCCTTGTAACTATCCCTCTCCAGCGTCTCCATGAACAGACAGGCCATGACTGCACTCAGGGGGGAGCCCATGGCAAGACCACCACTTATATGCTGGTATTCTTCGCCACCAACCTCGAAATAGCCGAAGTCCACACACAACTTCACCAGGCGAATGGAGTGGTGTCTCGGCAGCGGCAGTTCTGCGTCTGTCATGGAGCTGGTGACCCTCTCGACTGCTCGGATTGCTCCATCTGTGGGTACACTGGTGATGCCTATGTGGCTGGGGAGCCAGTTAATGATTAATCTTCTACCCTGAGCCAGAATCCTCTGTGCTATGGTAAGCAGCACAGTGGTCAAGAGGTAGATGTTGTCTTTGGGTGAGCTGTGTTGAAGATAGTCAGTAGCTGCCCTGGAGTCTGTATGTATGACCATGTGTCCTCCCCTCAGGGACACATGGGCTAGGCTTCCCATGATCCCAACTGCCTCTGCCAGTAGCGAGGAAGCGTTGTCTGTTGTCCTCATGAATTTTGTGGCATCCCTTGCTGCAAAGCCGGCGCCTGCAGTGTGGCTGATCCATCCATGAAGTATATTCTACTACCCGGAGGAGTGATGGCTGCAATGACCCTTTCGGCTTCTTCCTTTAGACTAGGTATGAGGTATTGATTCTTTCTCCTTGACAAGCTCATAACAGAGAACTCTATCAAGGTTTGTGCTCACGGCGGGACTTCGATAAAGTCAGGGTGGGAGGAGTTCATGCCCTTGGCAAATAGTTGTCCTTTGAGCTGATTACGTATCAACACCCTGGCTGTGTGAGACAGCCAGGAGTTGTTTGCAAAGAGCTCGTGATCTTGTTCTAAGCGTCTGAGTATATTTTGTCTCAGACTTGTGTTTCTGGGAGCCTGGATAACCTTTGAAAGGAATTGTTTGCCTCCATGAGGAGGTTGAGGACCTTCGTCCACCTTAGGGCATTCAGAATGTTCCTGGCAGCTTCATTTTGCTGTCAATTTTTTGTGGCATTCAGGGCGACAGAAGCATAGTCCACAATGGGCCAGACGGCATGTGCATAGAATGCTTTTAGTGCTTTATGTCTGACTCCTATGTGTCTCCCAGTCATTGCTCTCATGGCAGACAGTCTTGTTTTAGTTCGGTCAACCAGGTACTGGACCTCCTATTGAAAGGAGTCTGTCAATCCTTACCGCAAGGTATTGGAAGTCCTGGTCCCACTCTAAGACCATTCCCTGGATTCTCAGAATTGTCCCTTGAACATTGTGTCTCAGAGCTTCTTGATTTGGCTGCAGAGATCTTTAGTCCTGTCCTGCAAAACTCCTCAGATACAAGGTCCATACAACGCTGGGCTTTACTTAGGCAATGTGGTCCAGTGGAGGTGATTGCAAGAGATGATCTTGCAGCCCATTGGGAGGTGTATGTTGAGGATACAAGGCATTAGGGTGTTGAAAAGGGCTGAACTGAGAGCTGTTTTGTTCCTGAAATAGTCACCAAGAGCTTTCCTCTGATTTCCTTCTGGATCAGGGTCTCTTGAATGGCAAGGGGACTTGCTAATTCAAAAGCAGTCTCCAGGTTTAGGAATACTACCATAGATGGGACAATGCTAGTTGTGATTAAGAGCGTGGCTATGCTGTGTGCTGTGCTCATGCCCCTTGTGAACCCATGGAAGTGTTCATGTGGGGGTCCCATATTCCACTGGAGTCGGTTTAGTACCAGTACTTCCCTGGCTCCTTTGCTTTTATGATGGGAACTATGCTAGCCCTCTTCCAGCTCTGGAGTAGAGTGGAAATTTCCCAGGACTTGACGAGTTGCAAGAGTGCAAGCTCACCTGCCAGTCCTAGGTGGGAAATGATGGGGTACGAAATCCCATCAGAACCAGGGGCTGAGCGAGAACTGTTTTTGTATGTTTTTCTTACTTCCTTCAGAGAAAAGAAAACATCTGAGTTATCAGGTTCGGCTGCCCTTTCTGCCCTGGTTGTAGGTGTTCTTGACTTGTCCTCAGTTCGGCTGGCAGACTGTTGCTGCTTGTTCTCGCAGAGAACTCATGCACCAGTCTGTTTGCCTCTGATTAAGGGTTGTGATGTATGCACCTAGGGGCTGAGTGGCTGGTAGCTCGCCTGACCCGTTGGCATAGCTCTGTAAGTGTGGTTTGGTGGTCGAAGGACTCACACCATTCCAGCCGCTTTTCCTGCCTGACTCTGTTGGCCAGGCGTCTCTGTGACCCAGGCCGAGTTTATGTATGGTCTGTGAGGCTGCTTGATTTATGACATTGATAAGTCTGGCTTCAAGCACTTCCACATTTTCACTTTCTGGGAGTTCATTGTATCTCAGACAGTGGGTCAAGGCATTCTAAAATGCCTGCCAGTTGACCTTGTCTGTTTTCCATCTTGGGTTTAGTAGTGGCATTTGGACTGGGCCAGCATCCATAAGGGTAGTTATAGTGCCATAACGGTCACTTGTGACAGTCTCATCGACACCATCTGATTCTCTCCACCAGAGCCGCAGTGGCCAAGATGAGGTCTATGATCCCTCCTCTGACATGCATTGGCTCTTGGGTGTTGAAAAGAGTGATCTCAGGGAAAGTCTCAAGTATGTTGGCTATGTGATAGTCAGCCACATTTGGTGCTCAGCAGGGAGCCAGGCAGGGGTGGTGTGCATTGAAGTCTCCCCCTATGATCACTCGGTCATGTGCTGCAGTAGCACAGACCTGGATGATGTCTAAGCTCCTACAGAATGGCCTGCTGTCACATTGTACAGTTTGAGGGGTCCCCCGGCCAGGTGAATCTCAACAGCAAGAGATTCAACATCGTCTCTACAGT